TTTAAAAAATGATGTTCCTTTATAGATGGTTTGAAATGATTTCAAAGGGATTTTGACCATGCAACACTTGAAATGTCAAACTCAACTAGAACAACAAGAAACCTCCAACAGACTTTTATTGAGAGCCAATTAGATCAGAAAGTTTTGACTTGTAAATATGGATTTCTTATAAAACTCATTAATAATTCATTAAGCCAAAACAAAGGAAATCACAACCGAGGAAGGGATCTGTAATTCTGATACAGATTCGTCCTGATTTGCATAAACTTTGAATCTTATTTTCTCTACATTTAATAGAGAAACTTCAGTTTTTTTTAGCACAAAACCCATTAACTATGTTAGGCGTTTCATAAGTAATATACAATATTCGTTTCTGATCTGTATGGGATATCTGTATGTTTTCAGGCTCCAGCTTTTATTAAAATTTTTGTTAAACTTTAAAATATCTAATCAATTCTAAACATTGTACAACACCCGAACCTATTTTCATAGCTTTGGAATCCTCAATATGAACGCATCAGTTTGTTGGAATTCACAGCAGTGATGTGCATTAAGAAGTACTAATTTCTGAAATTGTCAAAACCTAAGTTTTGAAATGATACATAGTGTATGGAACTGTGCAATGCAGCACTATGCAGTATTTGTACCATTTGATTAAAATGAGGTTGAATGAATAAATCATTTCCAATTACAACATATAATATGGTACAATAATTATTATTTTAACATTGACCCTCAAGTGTATTAAAAACTACAACTAATGTAATGCTTTTTTAATTTTAAATGCGCTATTACATTATAAAATTGCAACATTTGTACTTCCTAAACAAAATATAAAATGCAAATTTGAAAAATTCTAGTTAAAAAATGGGACATCCAGTACTACCTTAGCTACCATTTTGATTCTAACATTTCATGTCTTTGAGAATGCACCACCTTTACACAAAGCCTCAATAAAAATTCGCTGAGACTCTTTCTTTTCAACCATATGCTTAACAGGAAATGAGATGGTTTTTCCACACGCCCCAACTACAGGGTACCAAATGGTGTGCTTTGGAGCCCTTGCCTTACAATCATGATCAAAATAGACAGTGACCACTAAATTCTCATTTTTCAAAGGATGGTGTTTTTGTCCAGTGAGCCAACCAAGGACTCCAGCAGGACTAACATCATTGCCATGAAACATTTAAGCTTCGCAAACTCCCAAACATTCCTGGACTGCAGCATCTCTACCACTAGTACTCTCGTCGTCCCATGTCAATTCTTCGGTAGGGCCTTGTATCGTATTATCTTCAATAGTGCACAAAAGTCTTGGAAATTATCAATCAGTGTCTCTTCTAGCTGGCGCTTTGTTGTACCATTCTCAGAATACATAGGTGAAATGATGGAGAAGACATAGTCAGCATCTGGGGCACTGGTACTTGCAGTGAATAGATGTTTGCATACGTCAACATTACCTTTAATAAGTTCATAAGCATCTTGAGTCGTGAAAATTCCCGCAAGAAGAGCAACTGCTTGTTGATTATACTTACTTTAATTGTCCCAATGATATCTTCTTTGTGGGCTTTATTTATGGTATCAGTATATCCATGCTCCTGAGATAATGTTGACAAAAGTATCATCAAATGAACTGCAGCTCCTGATCTGTTTAAATATATCCCCATATCCCCAGAAGTGAAGTGCTCTTCAGAGAGGTCACTCAGGTCAACCTCTGGATTTAGCATGAGCTCAAATACTGACTTGACCTTAAATGAAGGTGCAGGATCACCATTGGCTAAAGAAACAGCAACAATTTCTCCACAAGTCTTTAATGATTTATTGTGTACATTGTACCGTATTTACCCGTGTATAATGCGGGCCCGTGTATAATACGAATCCCAATTTCAGACCAAATTTTGAGAAAAAAGAAAAATAAACTACTCAACAAGAAGGTAAAATTGTATAACATTATTTATTTCAATTAACTTGGCAAACTAACGAAATGATGGTTACAACATCTTTCACATATCAAATCCTTCAAACTCGGACTCGGAGTCTGACTGGAACAGTTCTCTTGCAAACGAGTCATCGAGCTCGTTGTTGCAGTCATCGTTGGCCTCGTAAACTAGGTCGTCCTCGGATCCATCAAGGCTGTTGGTGATCCCGCATTTTAGAAATGAGGATTCAATCATTTCTTCGGAAATGTCCTGCCATGCTCCTGCGATCCACGAAAGGATCAGTTCCTCGGATGGTTTCTTTTGGCGGCCACTCGCTGTAAATTCATGGATTCCCTCCGCCATCCACTCCATCCACCTCTTTCTAACACCATCTTTAAACGGCTTGTTTAAAGAGACATCCAGCGGCTGCAAGATCGAGGTTAATCCGCCAGGAATTACTGCTAAGTTCGTGTTTTCTCGTGTCAGTGCTGTTTTCACTCTTTCGGTCACGTGGGCTTCACGATTTGCTCGTTTCAACCGAGGCATCTTTTTCAAGTTTTCCTTGCTCTTCCGCCATAAGCGAACATTACTTTCAGATACTCCGAACTCTCTTTCAGCAGCGAGATTTCCATGCTGTTCGGCGAAATTGATGATTCGTAACTTATCTGACACTGTGTAACTTTGACGCTTGGTTCCGGCGAGTTTTGTAGTCATGTTTACGTTTGATTGCTCAAGATTACAGTAACTGTTTTGTTGATCAGCTGTTCGCTTAAATACTTAGTTAAATTTATTCAAGGATCCAAATTGTTAACATGTCATTGGTAGGTTAGTTTACCCTCAAATTAAAGACCAATTACATCGCACGCTTATGTGTCTTTGTTATTCTAATGTCGCGTCAGCCTAAACAAAGGATTCCGTGTATAATACGCATCTCGAATTTAGGTGTTCATTTCGGGAAAAATAAGTTCGCATTATACACGGGTAAATACGGTAATACCGTATTTACCCGTGTATAATGCGGGCCCGTGTATAATACGAATCCCAATTTCAGACCAAATTTTGAGAAAAAAGAAAAATAAACTACTCAACAAGAAGGTAAAATTGTATAACATTATTTATTTCAATTAACTTGGCAAACTAACGAAATGATGGTTACAACATCTTTCACATATCAAATCCTTCAAACTCGGACTCGGAGTCTGACTGGAACAGTTCTCTTGCAAACGAGTCATCGAGCTCGTTGTTGCAGTCATCGTTGGCCTCGTAAACTAGGTCGTCCTCGGATCCATCAAGGCTGTTGGTGATCCCGCATTTTAGAAATGAGGATTCAATCATTTCTTCGGAAATGTCCTGCCATGCTCCTGCGATCCACGAAAGGATCAGTTCCTCGGATGGTTTCTTTTGGCGGCCACTCGCTGTAAATTCATGGATTCCCTCCGCCATCCACTCCATCCACCTCTTTCTAACACCATCTTTAAACGGCTTGTTTAAAGAGACATCCAGCGGCTGCAAGATCGAGGTTAATCCGCCAGGAATTACTGCTAAGTTCGTGTTTTCTCGTGTCAGTGCTGTTTTCACTCTTTCGGTCACGTGGGCTTCAAACGCGTCACAAACAAGCAGGCTTCTTCTTCTCCCCAGGCCACCTCTCCTCGAACACCAAACTTTGTCGATCCATGTTTTCATTCCTTCACCGTCCATCCAACCTTTCTCTTGAGCGGCGATTACAACTCCGTGCTTGTTGGCAACCTTTGGGAGAGTTTTTCTTTTGAAGATTACCATCGGTCTCAGTTTGCTTCCATCGCCAGCACAGGTCAACACGACTGTAATGCGGTTCTTTTCATTACCCGTAGTACGAATCTTGATCGTTTTCTCTCCCGAGTTGTTGATGGTTCGATTTGGCGGCATGTCAAATGTTAGTGGCGTTTCGTCCATGTTAGCAATAACATGAAGAGGATAATTGTGCTCTTTGCGAAGATCGATAATGTAGCGGTGGAATCGCACGATTTTCTCCTCATAGTCATCTGGAAGCCGCTGGGCAAGAGTTGTCTTTTGGCGAAGAGACAAGCCATTACGCTTCATGAAACGCTGACACCAGTGGTTGCCTGCTTTAAACTGCCCTTGTGGAATCCCATATTTCTCGTTCTTTGCCATGTCGAGGGCCTTCAGCCTCACCAGCGATGGTAAAATGGCGAGACCATTGTTCCGTTTCTCTGTGATCCATTCGAGGAGACCAACCTCAAGTTCTGGCCATGCAGCTTTTTTGCCACGATTTGCTCGTTTCAACCGAGGCATCTTTTTCAAGTTTTCCTTGCTCTTCCGCCATAAGCGAACATTACTTTCAGATACTCCGAACTCTCTTTCAGCAGCGAGATTTCCATGCTGTTCGGCGAAATTGATGATTCGTAACTTATCTGACACTGTGTAACTTTGACGCTTGGTTCCGGCGAGTTTTGTAGTCATGTTTACGTTTGATTGCTCAAGATTACAGTAACTGTTTTGTTGATCAGCTGTTCGCTTAAATACTTAGTTAAATTTATTCAAGGATCCAAATTGTTAACATGTCATTGGTAGGTTAGTTTACCCTCAAATTAAAGACCAATTACATCGCACGCTTATGTGTCTTTGTTATTCTAATGTCGCGTCAGCCTAAACAAAGGATTCCGTGTATAATACGCATCTCGAATTTAGGTGTTCATTTCGGGAAAAATAAGTTCGCATTATACACGGGTAAATACGGTAAATGGAATTTGCTGGTGCTCCAGTGGGAAACATAGATTCCCAATATCCTTTATTCTTGTGACAAGGCCCCTGTGTCGATTCCACTTTCTCCACAGTATTTTAATTCTTAGGGTATTCTCAGGACTGACTTTTCTTGCTTGACGCTCTCAGATATCGATGATTCTAGATAGTGGAGCTCCTCTTCTCATGACAATGAAAAAATCTTCCTCTTATTTAACTTGCCTATGCATTGCATTGAGGATACCTGCAGTGTCCAGATAGGTGTCTCCAACCACTGCCTCTTTATTATTATCAGATGGTAACACAGAGCTTGCTGACGAATGAAGATCATCTTCCTCGTCAAATTCATTCTGAAGTCTCCTCAGGATCAGAGGGTAATACTTCACGGGAATCAAGTACCTTTTCATTTCTGCGAAGCGGCCACTTATCTTCGCTTTGCCACAAAAAGGCTGGTCCCTTTAACCACTTCGAGGTTAGAAGAGCGTTTGGACTAAGCCCACACGAGGCGTCATCGGCTGGATTTAATTTTGACTCCACATACTTCCACTGATCTAATGAAGTTGCATCCTGAATCAGCTGAACTCGATTGGCTACAAAGACGTGGAATCTTCGACTTTCATGAGCGATGTACCCCAAAACCACTTTGCTATCAGACCAGAAGAACTCTGGGACATCATTAAGGCTCAACTCTTGGCGCATCTGATGGCTAACCTTTACTGAAGTCACAGCGGCCTGCAGCTCTAGGCACATGCTTGATGGGGGTCACTCGTGCCTTGCCAGCCATGAAAGAAAAGTGAATTTTGCCGGAATCATCTCGAAGCCTTAAGTAACTACATTGACCGTAACCCTTTGTACTTGCATCCGAGAAGTGATGTAGCTCTTTCCTCACGACCGCGCCAAAGTTTTCGGGCTTAAAGCATCTGGGAATCGAGAAACGTTGAAGAATAGGAAGCTTGGCTCGCCATTTCTCCCATCTTGACATAATCACGTCGGGTATGGGATCATCCCACTCCATGCCTTCACGACACAGATCTTGCAAGATGCTCTTTCCCACTAGTAGGATGGGTGCAGCGAAACCAAGTGGATCAAAAATCGAGCTTATGGTTGATAGGATCCCTCTCCTTGTACAAGGACGATCTTTTAGCATCAAACGAAACTGAAACATGTCTGACTGAATACACCAATGGACCCCAAGTACTCTCTCCATGGGTAGCTTGTCCAGATCGAGGTCTATGTTCTTGAGGTCATCAGCTCGATCAGAAATTGGAAGGCTTCTCAAAACTTCTTTCTTATTCGAAACAAACTTGTGCAGATTAAACCCTGCCTTCTTGCACATCTTTTTCACAGATGATATCAGCATGGTTGCTTCCTCAACTCTGCAACAAGATTTTAAACCTTTCGTACAAAGTCCGCAGCTGCAGACCCAAACTCGTCTTCACCGTCCTGTGCTGCTCTCTTAAGGGCAAAGTTGGCGCAACCTGGAGATGAAGTAGCTCCAAATAGGCGCACCGTCATCCTGTACTCTACTCGACTCTTGGATAAGTTACCACCTTCCTACCAGAAGAAGTGCAACAAGTCTCTAAACTCTTCTGTCACATGGACTTGGTAAAACATAGACTCTATATCGCACATGATACCCACGGGTTCTTGACGAAATCTGTTGAGGACGCCAGTAAGGGTGTGTGTTAAATCCGGGCCTTGCAGAAGGTTTTTATTCAGTGACTCTCCACTGAACTCTGCAGCACAGTCGAACACCACACGTATTTTATTCGGCTTCTTTCGATGGTATACCCCATGGTGAGGAATATACCAAATATTTGTTTCTCTTGAATGGGGCGACGACGCGGCACTTTGGTTCCCTTTGGGTGTTTTCGCGTCTTTGTTGGTGAGGGGGCCCTTTCTTGCCCTTTTAGCATAACCTTTCCCTATGACACCCTCCATGAACGTCACATAGTCTTCACGGTATCTTTCATCAGCGAGGAATCTTCTCTTCAGCTGTGCCAATCGACGTAGAGCTAAGTCTCGATTGTTCGGAAGCCTTAGGTTTGGATCTCTGAGGGGGAGAGGCAGCTTGTAATGACTTTTCCAACTGGGTAATTCCTTCTCTTGCAATAGTGAGGAATCTCCTGTCCTCTTTGGAAAGTCCTGGGTCGTTGCTACATCGATCGGAGAAATCGTGTTCGAACATACGCTTAACTGAGAAGGGAGTTATCTCTTCCTTGGTTTGAGAACTCAACACGAAGCTACGACTGATGTTGTGGTGGCCGGTGTCAACTTCACATGCTATAATCCGGTTGCAAGATGAGGCTACTTGCTCTTCATGATCGCTTTCTTCACACTCTAGCAAGCTGACCGGGCCAATTATTCCCCAACTTAACAAAGTGCGAACTGCATAGGGGTCGTCTCCTCTACCAACGATGACTTNTCTCAATCCGTTCTTCTACGCTCCCTTTGTGAAGTTCTGCACACTTGTCGGGTTGATGACCACCGTTGCACACGGAGCATAAGTTTGTTCGCTGTTTTTGACTTGGTACTTCGCTGGATTTGCGTCTGCTTTCGTTAGACTGGCTTTGAGATGCAAGTGACACAAAACTGTTCGCTCCGTGAGCTCTCTTTCCCCGGTTCCTGTCAGGCATCTTAGTTCTTTCTCTTTTCAAGGCTTTGGGGGAAAATATTGGGTCATTTGCAAGGTCTGCTTCTTCCTTAACGAAAACAACCAAGTCAAGAAAGGACACTGTCCTGTCTGTTTTCTTCGAAATGTCACGAGCCTCACGACACCACTTAGAGCCCGATCTGATTGGTAACTTGGAACTGATTTCTTGCAATATCCTAGGCGAGTTCAATTCTTCCATATACTTCATGGATTGCATAGCTCCTTCGCAGCGAACGAGAAAATCGGAGAAGTCTTGAAGAGCGGCAACATCTCCTTCCGCTATCTGACTCCAACTTCGCAGTCGGGACTTATAAGCTTCAGCCACCCGAAATGGACTTCCAAACGGTTGAGCCAAGAGTTTGCGAGCTTCTTCGTAACCTCTGTTGGAGTTCCAAGTCAAGAAACCTTTGATGACTTCATGGGCCTTGCCGGTAGTATACTTGCACAGAAAATACAGCCTATCCCTTTGCGAATCTACCTTCTTATCTATCATTGCCTCGAAGGCAGCGATGAACGTGGGATAATCGAAGTAATTTCCACTAAACACTGGCGGTTCTTGCGCAGGTAACGTGCTCGCTCTCTGCTGGCTGACGAACTGAGCGCTTAATTCGGCTTGTTTGGCTTGCAGCTTCACCATTTGTTGTAGAATTGAATCTTGTGGTCTTGTTGTCTCTTCCGAAGCTGCTCTTTGCTCCTGTTTAACGATTGCTCCAACTGGAGACGACATTGGTTCGAAAGAACTTGCTTCCGGCCTAAGTGTTGAGGACTTATGTCTCGTGGCAAGCATCCCTGCCTCAATTTCAGTTTTAGGTGCACTTTCTCGACTTTCCTTACTCATGTCCGTATTTGAATGCGCTACGCTGCTGGCCTCTGCCTGCTCATTCATGGCCAATCTGATTGCTTCTTCGGCGTCCGCTAATGCAATCTCTTTCTCTAACTGAATCCACCTCAAATTAGTATCATGTTCGAGGTACTTCATCTCCACTTTAAGCTTTGCCGCTCGAGCCGCCGCCTCCACTCTCTTCGACATGGCCGAAGACCTAGAAGAATGCGACATTTTCGTTTTTCCTGAACGGCTTGATTTTGTTAACTTGGCATCAGGTACACTCGTTTCATACTCTAATTCCATCTGCTGTTCGATTGAACGAAGCCTTTCCGATATGCGGATTCGACATTCGGTGTACTCTCGATCACACAAGTCAAAATCACGATAAGCGGCACCTTTAGCGCTCTCTTCTTCCAGCAATGCATCAAAGGCTCTGTGCGCAACGTTCAACTCCTCTTTAATTGAATCTAGATTTTCCATTTCCTTTTCTAACACGTCACGACCAGCACGAGAGTCCATTAAGGAGTAGATAATTTCGATATGTTTTCGCAATTTCGTCTCGAATTCCCTTTTCCTCTCGCCACGAATTTCCAGTTGATAAGCTCTTCCTTTATCGGTCAAAGTTCGCTCGCATGAGGCACGCGGTCCTGTATGACCGCATTGTATGCCCGGAGAACATATTTCTTCATCTACACCAAAGTTTCTCACATCGCGCGACCAATTTGAAATTTCAACATCTGGAGCTTCTTTATCTCNGTTTTATTTTATTTTACTTTGGTTTTATTTTATTTTACTTTGGTTTTATTTTATTTTACTTTGGTTTTATTTTATTTTACTTTGGTTTTATTTTATTTTACTTTGGTTTTATTTTATTTTACTTTGGTTTTATTTTATTTTACTTTGGTTTTATTTTATTTTACTTTGGTTTTATTTTATTTTACTTTGGTTTTATTTTATTTTACTTTGGTTTTATTTTATTTTACTTTGGTTTTATTTTATTTTACTTTGGTTTTATTTTATTTTACTTTGGTTTTATTTTATTTTACTTTGGTTTTATTTTATTTTACTTTGGTTTTATTTTATTTTACTTTGGTTTTATTTTATTTTACTTTGGTTTTATTTTATTTTACTTTGGTTTTATTTTATTTTACTTTGGTTTTATTTTATTTTACTTTGGTTTTATTTTATTTTACTTTGGTTTTATTTTATTTTACTTTGGTTTTATTTTATTTTACTTTCACTCTATTTTAAAAATAAAAAAATAAATTGAAAAATAAAAAAAAAATGTAAATCAAAATAAAAAAGAAAACAATTTTCTTTCAAAAATGCGGATTTTTCTATTGGCAGTTCTCGGCCACCATACATGAGGCACGCAGTCCTGAATGACCGCATTGTATGCCTGGAGAACATATTTCTTCATCTACACCAAAGTTTCTCACATCGCGCAACCAATTTGAAATTTCAACATCTGGAGCTTCTTTATCTCCCGCAGCGAGAATTTTTCGAACTGCACTTCGAGGTGAAGGAATACCACTAACACTCATCTTCGACGAAGTTTGATTCAAGCCAAGGCGTCTTTTAAGATATTTTACTGTAACGGCAGGCGAACATCAAGGCCCAATGTATTGCCGTGAAAATCGCTAATTGAACTTAATTGAACTGCGAACTGGGCTAACCACAAGCAATAAGGATAAATTACGATGAAACGAACTTACATGTCTGTCCCGCGACACCCTAGGCCTTTATAATCTCTTTTTGTAGACCACAGCAAAAAATGTCTACTCCACACACTCGCTCCGCACGTACTAAATCAATCACATCCAGAAATAGCTAAAGAACCTAACGGTAACGTAAAGCACTGTCACGCAAGTGACGCGTGTAACTGTAACTTAAAGCGCCGTCACGCAAATGTGGCGCATCAACAGGTGTGAACAATTGGAACTAAAAGGTCAAGACCATTACGCCTGGTAAAATAATCATGTGATAACTTGACGAAATATTCTTTGAACATTTCAGGAGCAATGTTATTGACACATTTAAAAACAAAAGTTGAAATATGCATTGTAGAATGTCTTGAGGGACATCCAACCTAATTGTCGCAACAGCTGATCGTGACTAAGGCAGCTTTCCTTTAAAACAATTGTAGCGGCTCTTGTTTGTAACCATTCTAAAGTTTTATATCTAGAAGGAGCTAAATTATTCCAAACAAAGTCGCAATAATCTAACTTGGGAAGAATCGTAGTTGTAAAGACTTTAAGCTGCATGAACCGTGAGACTGTTTCTGACCCCGCTTAACAAACCGAGCTGTCTAGATACCTTATTAACCAGTCGAATAACTTGTTCCTTGAAAGATAGTGACTCGTCTATCGTCTAGGTATACTCCTAAGGACTTATAGAGAGGCTTAAAATTGAGGACTTGGTCTCCTAAGTAAACACTGCAAAGATTGTTAGAGTCAATTTGATTGCGTTTCATAGCAGTTCCAAAGATTACGTATTCAGTTTTCTTATAATGAATAAAAAAATGGTTCTTAGTTGACCAATCTAAGAGAAAACTGAGCCCGGCATTTAACACCTGCAACAGCTGATTTGTACCTGAGGATGAGTGTTAGATGACGGTATTATCAGCATACATTAATATATTAGCAGCCTGTAAACATTTTGGCATATCTGTTAAATGCAAAGAAAAAAGCAGAGGGCCCAGAATAGAACCTTGTGGAACTCCTGAGACCACTAGTTGAGGCCGGGACCGGACACCTCCTACGAAAACTGATTGGGTACGATCTGTTAGGTAATCAGACATCCAACGATGCTCACTATCACAAATTCGAAATAATTGCAGTTTATCAAGCAAGATTTTATGATCAATAGAGTCAAAAGCCTT